ATGAACTGATTAACATTCGCTTCCCGGACGACCGCAGCAGTTTTTAAAATTTTGTCAGCCAACCGCAGACAGAAGTTGACACCCTGGCCAACCTCGATGTCATTTTATTTTCATAAAATGCAAAAACCTCTTCACAAATGTTTCCATTTTTCCTTTTCACTGTTCAGATTTTTGCTTTATCCTGCACTCTTTAGCGCCCTTTTTCCGCTTCCTGGTAGACGGTACGAAGATTTCTTTGACTACCTTTCGTAATGTTTTTTTTTCTTCTTTGTTTACCATCCAGCCCTCTTCTGTCCAATCATTACACCTTCAGTGCCTAAATAGAACTCTAAATCATCATAGATTTTTGTACACAGGTTTCATCAAATCGCATGTTCACAAACTCACTGATTCGGGAGTATGTTGTCTTGGACACATCCGGGAAAGCTGCTTGAAAGACCGCGAAAAAATGCAAGCCGTTTGAAGCCGGATGCCGATTGTTCCATAAGAAATAGATTTAGTTGGCACGTACGCATAGAAGGTACAGAAATTCGAAATTTGCTGAATTAAGTCTTTTCGGCAAGTCCTGCACCATAACCCTAATTATGGGCATAATCATGCAGGCATAAATTAATTAAGCTACGACCACGCTTCCGTTTTTTAATGTGCCAAATTTATTCACAAATCTTTGTAAAATTAGCTAGGCGAAATATTGCATGATTTAGAAGACGTTTTTGCGACTCCTAAACTATCATTTCTGCGTCCCGCGAAGCCTGATGGTATTGAGGAAACGTAAAACCCTAAAAAAGAGATATCGTTTGTTTATAAATTTTTATTTATTAGATGAAGACTAAAATATTTTCACAAAAATCCAGAAATTCAGAAATCAGATATATTAGAAGCTACCTGCATCAGGCTAACACAGCAACGCATAAACTGGGGAAAACACGTTATGGGGAGCGAATTTTGAAAATACAGACAAATGTAAAAATAACACTTCTTAGTTGATTGCCTTTTGGTACGTTCTAACACCTAGTAATGTCTTAGCGCTGTATATGCCAAGAAGAATGTTCGAAAACTTTTCCAGGCTGCAATGTAGTTTAAGCAAAAGTTCCATGTTTTTGAACACTATTCTTTGAGATAATAGAGTATTTTAAGATATGCACTATAGGAACTGAACTTTACATCACCAGTTACAAACAAAAAACAACTGACTTTTTTAGAAATCCCGGGACAGGAAAAAACTGCACAAAGTCTAGACAGTCCTTTAAGCTGTTTGCTACTAACTGTCGTAAGGCCGGCATGCATGGAGAAGTATAGTTGACATTTCGTACACATAAGTATTAGGACAAATAAGAGCCAAAATCAAACAGATTTTCGTTAATTTTTGGCGTAGTTTATGTTATGCCTGCCTTCCGTGATTTGATCGGGCCAAGTCGATCAGGCCTCAAGCAGGAGGAATAATAATACGAAAGAGAGGATTTGAAGAAGGAGGATAAGAAAAGAAGATAGAGGAGTACGATGAGGAGGATGATGAGGTTGAGGAGGAGGAGGAGGAGGAGGAGGAGGAGGAGGAGCAGGAGCAGGAGCAGGAGGAGGAGGAGGAGGGAGAGTTGGAAAATAAAAGTGATAAAGAAGAAAAAGAAACGGGCGATTAAGAGGAAGAAGAAGAAAACTAGGAAATAGAAGGGAAAGAAGGAGGCAGAGAGGTAGGAGAAGAGAAATGAAAAGATGAATACACAACCAAGGAGAGGAGGAAAAAGTGGACAGGAACAAAAGAAAATAGAGGCACGCAAAAGAATGAGATATAAAGCAGAGAAATAAGAAGAAGAAGATGAAGAAGAAGAAGAAGAGGAATAATAATAATAATAATAATAATAATAATAAGAAGAGGTATAATAATAAAAAGAAGAAGAAAAAGAAAAAGAAGAAGAGGAGGGGATAAATATGAAAGTAGAGGGAAATAAACAGACAGGGAAAAATGTAACCGAGAACGACAGCGATGACGACGATCATGATGATGATGATGATGATGATGATGATGATGATGATGATGATGATGATGATGATGATGATGATGATGATGATGATGATGATGATGATGATGATGATGATGATGATGATGATGATGATAGCGACGACGAGCATTAGAGGAAGAAGGTGGAAAAGATATAGAAGAAGAAGAAGAAGAAGAAGAAGAAGAAGAAGAGGAAAAAGGGATCTGCCTAGAGCAAAAGGAGCACTGGCCTGAGCACCATCGAACGAGATACACCACTGGTGTTCTTATAAACGAAAATTAGCGGTCAGGTTACAATAGAATGTAGGACCCTCAAGTTGATGGCAGCTTTACAAATATACCATAAAATTCAGAGTGACTGTAAACATTACGTATTATTCACGGTTTCCATTGTTCGCAATTACCCTTGCTTTGCCAGCGGCGCTGATAGAAGCAAACAGGCGAGCCTAAGGAAGCGGTTTAGAAAAAGATGATGCGACCACTAAAACAAGAAGTTTATTGGGCCTGACGTTTTGAACTCTCACTCGAACCCATCATCAGAGAGAGTCGCAGATAAAGGTAGTGGAGGCACAAAGACTGTAGCATTTATGGTGCGTAGCTGCCGCATCACGCCAGCTGGATGGATAACGGGCAACAAATGGCCTTCTCCGACGAATTTATTTTGGGTGATCTGGAGGGTTTGGAACTGCCACACATATGGCTTGAGGAAGCGTCCCGACACCCTCAGTAGACAATCCTGTGGAGGCTTAGGAATGTGCGTTTGGCACTGATATAACGTCAGACATTTTCACCCGGGAACTGACATTTGTAAACTATTACAGAGGTGAGCATATGGTGTTTCGATGGGAAACCAGTAGTTTGCATACTCCCGGGGCACGAAATAATACCTGAAATGCAACCAAACTGTGACATTGAAGTGACTTTTCCTGAAGGCCCATCTTGGCTTGACTGAATATTAATGAGGGCTGTTGTGCAGGTGTATATACTGCGACATTCGGGCTGAGCGGTCAAAGGATGATCTGAAAGAGATTTTTCAGCAAAGTCTAATTAATGGCATGGACGAACACTGTGTTAAATTGCTGGAGTTACCTGAAGGTCCTAGATTTCTTTTATATTCCAACAATGTTTTTATAAAAGTGGGACAGTCATTTTCTGGCCATTTTTGTTAAAACGTTATTCACGCTAAAAGTCGTCCCTTTGTACTCTCTCATGCCGACAACCTAGCTAAAAAAAACGGGTGGTCCTAAAACTAGGCTGCAGAACATACTTTTCTACCCTTGAAGCCCATAAATATATTATCATATTACCTGGCAAGTGTTTACAAATCAAGTTATACCTTCCGGATTGAAAAAGGACATATTTAGGGCCATTGTACATGCCCACATAAGCCTTCGAAGGGGCGTGTTTCCTCTTATTTTTTCTTCAATAAATAAATTTGAACTATCATAGTTGTGAAAACACATCGATACAAGAGAGTTCAACCGTCGATTTCGACTACTTCCACTGTGTGCTCCACAGTAGCTTGAAATCAGGGACGATGATTTGCGCATGAATTAGTTTGTAATGATGGTAGACTTGCACAGCATCTACCGCACTCTCCCTCCTGACCTCGGCGCGTAGCCACAGTAGAGAAAACCGGAGGCGAAAGAGGGCATAGGTAGATGGCTCGGCGGAAACCTGTACCTAGGCGTACCATTACATCCCCTGGTCCATAAAACATACTTGACCAGGATCTTGCATTACAACACAAATAGGGGGCGTAGAACGAATTCCAATTGGTGTGGAGTGAACCAACAAGTGGGCGCGCAACCAAACCCCGATGTTCGCCGGAATCGAAGTATCTTCCGTGTTGTTCCATCGCGTCAACCGCGTGACTCGTTTTAGGAGCAAGCACACACACACACATCTACCAATCCACTCAATAGGAATTTCGGCGTTCTTCACAGTGGATGTGCAATCCGCCGATGCGGCAGACAACTACGCGGGCTGCAGACTGAAGCCCACATGAACGAAACGGAATAGCAGCATTTCGTACTGTTATCAGGCCGTGTGAATGAGGGTCAAATCTTCATCCCTAAGGTTTCTGGTGCGTGCCTGGTGACTGAAGAAAGTTTGTGTCTCCTTTGCAGAAGAGATTATTGGTCCTCCCAAGTATCAGAAGCATTCTCTTGTGATTTAAAACCTGTTCAGGCGACCGGCCCAACTGACATATTGCGGGGGTGGATGGGGGGTTGGCATGATCGGCGTGAAGGTGGGCGATACAGCCCACGCACTTGGTCTCAAGAACTCAGTGTGGAACAGCTTCCGGCCACCCACTGTAGACCACCGCCGGATCCCATCAAAGACCGAGTTCGGTAATTGCTGTTGCGTTTTCTCTCCTAAAAAGACCAAATTATAGGAAAGCTGCAATAAGGCGTTCTTTAGGGAAGTTGTTTCTGCCAGAACGATCACAGAAATAGCACCGGTCTTGGCAACGCTCGGCATCTTTAACGCGATTGTACCTACTGCCTGCCGTGTCAGATTATGCGACAGACTGTGTGAGAAAACCATTAACCCCGCGGCCAAAAGAATGCATGTGAACGCATGCCAACGAGGTCGTTTTCACCTCATCCGGACATAAATTACAACACACTGCTTATTTCCATAAGCGAAAGTTGCGGCGAATGTTTGTTTTGCATTATGTTTTAGTGACAGGCTTGGTAAAAAACATCCGACCACGGGCTTTTGTCAAAAGAAGAGGCGGGTAACTTGACTCAAATGTGATTAAACTCGCTTCGTCCGGCGGGGCCTAGTAACTCAAGTGCTTAGAGCGTTGGCTGAAGTAAAGCCTTCCCCTTACTGCCTGGGTTCGAATCCCACCGAGGCGCCGAGTTTTTCACAGTTGGGTCAGTTTGAATTATTTAAAATCTGTTAAAAGATCTATGAATTACGTGAGCCTGGTAGTCATCTGGTGGATTCTAGGTGAATTACTTATGAAATCCTACTTGGACAGTCAACTTGCTGTATCAGATTTGGTAGATTCCAGACGTTGCAGTAGGTTGGGCGGGTAACATGACCCCAAATGTGATTAACGACGCGTCGTCCGGCGTGGCATCATAGCTCAGGTGGTTTGAGCATTGGCTTTACTGAACCCTTCCCCTTACTGTCGTGGGTTTTAATCCCACCGAGGCGCCGAGTTTTTCACAGTTGGGTCAGTATGAAAAGAAGGGGCATTTATATAGAGGAAAGTGCAGACGTGAGGATATGGCAGCTCTAAGTAGTAAAAGGGGCGCAGTTTCGTGTTCCCGCGGTTCTGAAGGATATTCTTTATTACAAACTACTGTCTCCATCTCGGCAAACTTGTTCCTCACAAGGCTTACGGCAACCTACCGGTCTCGGTTAAAGAATCTGGTGTAAATATCAGACTGATTATTGACAGGTATGTATTTGCACAATTAATACCTTCATTAAATACTAAAACCCTTGTAAAAAATATTACCCTAATCTTGTTCTGGTTCTGATTATGCATTCGCGTATGAATGTGAGTAAAATTCTTGTACCAACGAGCGCATCCTCCTCTTCTCGGAGAGCTAATAAGCTCCTGATCTTCTTTGGCGCTACTAGGTGCTACTAAGAGACTATCGGACAGTGTCCTCTATCGGCACTGGATTTGATGTTACCGGCGAACTGTTCGACTTTAAGGACGGGGTTTTTTCACGGAAAAGCATAGGCGATCTTTTTGTGAATAACACGTGAGAAAATTTTGAAAATCAATATCAATATGTGTTTTCGGTTAAATCCGTATTCCACTTTTGTGTAAAGACTAAAATGAGGATACGATTATGATTGTTGAAAAGTCAAGTTGACAAACACGTGTTTTCGGTAACTCGCCATCAGGCCAAAGGGGTTACATAGAAGTTGAAATTATGCGAACTTACAGGGCTTATAAGTGATTCAGGGGCTATTAACACTCATCGTTCCCCGTCAATCCTCGTTCCCACGCCAGTCGCATGACGAGGCGTACTGTGGCGTGATATATCCAGGATCCAGGCGACGGATCTTTACTTGGGATGAACCGCCTCTTCTCCTGATTTCTACGCATTTTCCTGTGTGCGTATTGGGGTCGACATTACAGTCTTATCATAGTATACTGCTGTACTGCTGCTTGCAATTTTGCCTATGCATTTTGCTATACGAAAGCATCTCGAGTCGGTAGTTTTCTGCCAAATTTCATTTTATATTCAAATGCGACGCATAAATATGTCAAGTTGACAAGCGTCTCAGGCGGGTTTTGGGTGTAATGAGGTGTAATTCGATGCCCTAAGATAAATCTCATATGGGGTTTTACCTAATACACCTTACCCTATCGTATACTACTAGCTGCCTGTCGACAGTTAATGAATATTAGGCGGTTACCCGCTGTGGCTGGTGGACTCCGGCCCAAATATTCATACGTAAAAACCTAGGTCTCAACCTATAGACCTTGAATAGACTGTTAGTAGTATATTTGAGGTAATAAGCAACGCCCTTGATGACCCTATTGAAACGGTGCATACAATATTAATGTCAAATGCGCATCTTACTAAACATTTGCCAGTAACATATTTGAAAAGTCAATTTGCAAAGAGGTGCTTTCAGTAACTCGTCGTCAGGCAAAATCAGTTACATAGGAGTTGAAAATATGCGAAGTTGATAGGGTTTATAAGTGCCTCCGGAGCTATTAACACCCATCGTTCCCACGCCATCCGTATGGCGATGTCGGCGTGTCATGGTCATTGTGTCATGGGAGCGAAAGGGAGGGGGGACATAGGCTGTGAGTAATGTTTGTGCGTCGGGTACGTTGTGCACACACCACTGCCATCAAGGAGGTTGGGAGGACGTTGGGGTCGGCGTTGGACACGGAAGACAGAGAGCCAGTGTCAGGGTCTTCTGACAGCAAAGCACTGGATTGGCTAGCCGTGTAGCCACTGCCTCGGCTGTAGCTGGCACCAGTTGGCGTAGGCCCCTGGAGAAGCTTGCTGGTGTCCGGTAGAGAACGTGAACACATACCGACCTGGCTAGGTAGAAGTGAAAAGAAATCGATCTCGAGTTCTATTCTCGCACACCTTGTCGGTACGAATCACTGAGTCGATGCTAAAGAAGTCTTCCAGGTTGT